TAGGGTCTGGGGGGTCTCCCTGCAGCAGCTGCCACCCCCAGGACTACCCCTGCACGCCCCGCCTGCACCCGCCCCTCTGTGCCCAGCACACTTGGGGGAAGCTCCTCAGTGTGCCCGAAACCCTGGTCTCTTACCTCCTTCCTCCCCTCCCTGCACCACCAGGAGCACTGGTACACGTCCTACATCGACCTGCTGCAGCGTTTCTGCCTCTGGAATGTGTCCAACCAGGTGGTCAAGCTCAGCACCAGCCGTGCCATCAGCTGCCTCAACCAGGCCTCCACCACCCTGCACGTCAACTGCAGTCACTGCAAGCGGCCCATGAGCAGCCGGGGCTGGGTCTGCGACAGGTGCCACCACTGCGCCAGCATGTGCGCTGTCTGCCACCACGTGGTCAAGGGTCTGTTCGTGTGGTGCCAGGGCTGCAGTCACGGCGGACACCTGCAGCACATCATGAAGTGGCTGGAGGGCAGCTCCCACTGCCCCGCCGGATGTGGCCACCTGTGCGAGTACTCCTGACCCGCCTGCCGGACCTGGATGGGTGTGCGGGGCTTGTGAACCAAATAAAGGAAGCGGGAGACGTATTCTGAGGCTGCCTGTCACCCGGTCGCGTCGCTTACGGTCCAGTCCCCGCGCGGGCGACTCTGGCGGGCGGGTGGGAGTGTGTCCACGGGAGCTGGCAGTAGCCAATAGCAGCTGTTGCTGCGACCTTCGTCCCGCCTTCCGGAAGTGCCCCCTCTTTCCAGGACAGGCCAGAGGAAGCCGCTTCCGGGAGCCAGCCTGTTGCCACGACGACGGAGCTCCCGGCATGCCTCGCGGCGGCGGGCTATGGCGTTGGGGGTGCGGCTACTCCTGTTGCTCGCGCTCTGGACGCTGGTGGTTCCGGCCCGGAGTCTCCGGGAGGCAGGCGACGGAGGGTGGTGAGCGGCGCCGGGCGGCAGGGCTGAGCGGGGCGGGCGGCGGGGCGGCCAAGGGCACTGACCAGCTGTGTCGGCAGGCGGCGGCCCGGGCCGGGGGCGCCGGCGGCCGTGGCGGAGGAGGAACGCTGCACCATAGAGCGCCGGGCCGACCTCAGCTACGCCGAGTTCGTGCAGCGGTAAGTGCGTCCTCTTGTATGGCCACACCTCCCACGCCCGAAAACTCTGGGGCTTCGTCACCCTGCACCGCTGAGGCCGCGCACTGGTCGCCGGCGCGTCCTCCCGGACCTCCTTAGGCCGCTTCCCCTTGAGCTCGTGCGAGCGCGTGTGGGCGGGGGCGGACGATGGGCGCGGATCAGACTGAGGCCATGATTCCTCCTTTTCTTCTAGCTACGCCTTTTCCAGACCTGTCATTCTGCAGGGGCTCACAGACAACTCGGTGAGTGCTCACGCTCCTCGCGACCACCACTCGCCTGTGCTGAGCTTGGCTCCTGAGTACTTTCCCCGCCCCCACAGAGGTTCCGGGACCTGTGCTCCCGTCAAAGGCTGCTGGCCTTGTTTGGGGACAGCGTGGTCCGGTTGAGCACTGCCAACACCTACTCCTACCAGAAAGGTGAGCTGCCCCTCCCTGCAGCCCAGCCTGCTTGCCAGCATCTTGAAGGCAGCACCAACCAGTCCTGACCAACCCCTTTCAAACTGCAGTGGACCTGCCCTTTCAGGAGTATGTGGAGCAGATGCTGCACCCCCAGGACCCCTTCTCCATGGGCAATGGTGAGCCAGACAGGTGGCCATGGGGTGGGGTGGGGTGACTTAGGAGTACCCAGGTGCCAAGATCCCTGCATCCTCTTGTGTGTTTTGCTGTCAGACACCCTGTACTTCTTTGGGGACAATAACTTCACGGAATGGGCGTCACTTTTTCGGCACTACTCTCCACCTCCATTCAGCCTGCTAGGTACCATTCCTGC